GACACATAATTATTTACATTGCAATTAAAAAAAGTGAGGGGTAATAATATATATTCATCGTACTAAATATTTCGTTAATATCATTAAGTGCCTATTCCACGAATTAGTTCTGATTTAATTAGTTCCCCCTTGAATCTATTCGCATAAAATGAATTTATACGGGGAAGTCAAAGGCCGGGACCGTGAAGCGGGCCCGGGCTTTGGCTTGCCCGGCTATAGACTACACATGTATATTTAAAAGGAAATCAAATAAAAATCAATTAAAAATATATAGAATTATAGAAATATTCAGTGTCAGTTCTAGTTGGGCGCCGCCATTTTCAATTAACTCAATGATAAAAGGTGAGGTATTCCAATAACGGACAATCGCAACTTTTCGGATTAATAATAATCATCGAGCTTAAAAGCCTGGTGTGAATTAACAAAACGAGGTTGAATAAAAAATTTACTATTAATTTTTGTAAACTTAAGCGAAGTCACCCTCGAGATTTTTCAGGATTTTACTCTAAAGTGTCTACTTTTCTTGTGAAAGCAAATTTTGATTTCTCTATGGTAAATCTCTGTTGTTTATTTTCCGTAGCCATTGCCGAAGTACTCTTCATTTGAAGATGAACGGGAGAAAGCACGTGTCATGTTTCTAAAATATACATGAGGTTCTCGGGGTCGTTTCATGATTATTTTACAAAGCTGGATCTAAATCTACAAGATGTAACAGTTTAGTTGCAATGCATGGTGGAAAACTTAAAAAAAAATAAAAAATAGCAACAAGAACACCGAGTCACATGGAGTAGATCTAGAAATTGCACTTACTTTTACTTTGAATAGAATCTCTATGAATTTCGAAATAGATCTTTATAAACGTCACGGCAAATTCGCATTCTGCAGATTCCTTCATTGCCAGTTTCTTTCCAGTTCCGTAGATCCCATTTTTTTACTTCAAAACTCCTGAATGACATGAATCCTACACTAATGTCGTAATGATGATCCAGATTTTTTAAACTGTTAATCCGTCTCATTATTAAAACATTGTTCAATTTGTGGAGTTATATCTGGGTTAGCAAATGAAATATGTAAATGAAACACATCATAATTCAGCATGTTCCAAATCCATAATTCAAGAACGGCCCATCAATTTTAGTTGTCAACATCACAATGTTTATAACTCTTGAAAAAATGGATTCCTGACGAAAAAACATTATTACGTCAACAACACATTATTTACGAAATATATGACGTAACAAAAAATGCCTCGCGCTTTTTATGGGTGAATTGACAGATTGCGGTCTCAAAACAGATAATTTCAAGCATTGAGAATTTGTCTTGATGACCTTTAAAATATTTTTTTGTATAGATCTACCCATATTTTGCAACTTAACTAAAAAAATTCACCTTCAATTCATAATTATATTGATAATAAAACTGAAATTGATAAAGTTTAAATAACTTTAAACACACTAAATGACATGAATCTACAACAGTACAATATATACTTCTTCCATTAATTACAAATAACATTCGTTGATTTTATGTTTTTTAAACTATTTTATGTATTTCTCAGAAATGATTTCCCTACATATTATCTCGTTATTCAAGACTTCTGTAAATCTTTAACCTACAAAATATACAATACGCGGTATTTTTTCTCCCGCGAAAAAATATGCTAGATCTATTTTTTTTCACTAAACATTTTCAAATTTAAGGAAGGCTAAAATTATTGAGAACGTCACTCGGTGTTTCTGTTTGACTCGATCTCCCCTTCATATTAACAAAAATAATTATGTGGAACACTTTGAGTCTACAAAATACACACACTTATTGTCGCTTATTGAACACTCCAATTCAAACTTATTCTTAATAATATCAAATCACTGCCGGTATTTCTGGAAATTTTGTTGAATTGTGAGACGGAAATTTTAAATTGTATTTACAAAAAAATTATATGGGCCCTCCTTTTAAAATTGCTCAAACTAGAAAGGATGATATTATATTCTCATAATTTACATTTTCCTCGAACGCGAGTCTGTGTTCTCTCGTTAGCGAGGGAGTTAGCCTGGTAAATGATAGAGCTACCTCTTAAATCGCTCTATCGCTACTTCCGAGCTAGTGCATGTCGCTAAAATCAAGTGTAAAGTGTTTTTATTTTTTATATATTTTGTAAATTCTGCACCAAATATTAAAAATCGGCGTTGAAATGGCCGTTTCATCATGAAACAGATTATTTTGTCCTCCAATTGTCATCAAAACAGCTTTCTCCGTTTTTTGATATTTGGTGAAGAGCAAATGAAAATAAATAAAAACACTTGACACTTGATTTTAGCGATCGGAAGTAGCGATAGAGCGATTTACCGTATACCTAGGTAGCTCTATCATTTACCAGGCGTGTTAAAGTAGACACTGTGGTAACAAGCAAACCAATGGTGAACATATAATGAATCATTTTTCCTTTCTATTTATTTCTTGTCAGATTTGACACAGAATGTGATACAGAATTATGTAAATTAAACATTAATTAGCGAAGAACCATTTTTATAGTCTTCTGGCTAGTGTTCCCGCTCCCCTACGACGCGTTGCGGTATTCAAGATACGCGCTTGATTGAAAAGCTATTTAATAAAATCACTTAATTGTTCTTTTTCTTTTGAAAAAATATAATACGACAGTATATCATGGTAATTAAATTGAATCTTTGTGTGTTAGAGTTTATAAAGCGGTACTGATATTTTCACTTCAAATGATTTTGATTATTTTAAAAATAATGGTTTGCTAGTAAAATTGCCTTTTTTGACATAACTTTGTTCTCATTTTTCATTTTGAATGATGACATTTAGCTATTGATCAGTAAAGTTTAAATAAGAATAATCAAATTTTTTATAATTACCGAGTACATTTCACGCTAATATTTTGTGGAGACGAACCCTAAATGACGTCAATATGGGCGCCGCCATTTTTGAAATGGACGTCACGTCATGTTACAACGTAAGTCAACGGGAAAAAGATATAATTTTAACATTTTGATCATAATTATTCTGATTTTAAAAAAATTTGGAAAAAATGCCTAGAGATATTGACGTCAGGGTTAACATGACATTAATTTAAATGATTTAACTATTATATTTAATAAAAAATGGAATGTTCAAATTTGATGGGACAGACTATAGTACATTTAAGATGGCAGTTATTATAAGCCCTGACATTATTTTTGGTCTCATTTTGAAGCTTAATATAAACGTGAAATAGTGATAAAAGTTTTTTTTAATTGTCTGGCCAATTGTTTTCACAACGGCCCGGGAAATGAATCCCTTGCTCGTAGGCTCGAATCTGGAGTTTCCGGCCTTCTCTTAACTTATAGTATATTTTTAAAGGGGGTCATTATTTACATTTTTTTGTTTTTTGACACTTTTAAGATGAACACAGGTTTTTTTTATCAATCTGGTCATATTTTTTCTTCCCAGGTCCGATACTCGTGCCTGTGATTTTCTGTGTAAAGATAATTATGACCCTGACCTTTGACCCTTAAATCAATAGGGGTCATGTATTGGACATGGCTGTTCATCCTAAAAAAATACAGCTGTAGGTTGATTAATACGTAAGTTATTAAACGAAAACCGTTTTCAGTTTTAAGGTAATATTGACCTTTACCTTTGACCTTGTGACCCAAAAAATAATAGGGGTCTACTACTCATCCTATGAAGTTTGAACACTTTGGGTCAAATGGAACTTCAGTTATGCTCCAGAAACCACAATTTTTTAGTGTAAAGAGTAAAGATCATTATGACCCTGACTTTTGACCCTTAAATTAACAGGGGTCATGCATTGGACATGGCTGTTCATCCTATAAAATTTTACAGCTGTAGGTTGGTTATTACTTAAGTTATTGAACGAAAACCGTTTTCAGTTTTAAGGTAATAGTGACCTTTACCTTTGACCTTGTGTCAATGGAGTCCTTGCCCCAATATGGACAATCGCCCTTTGAAGTTTGAATAATGTGGGCCAAATGGAACTAAAGATATGCTTTGGAAACCAAATTGCTAACGGACGGACAGATAGACGGACGGAAGGACGGGCGGACGCCAGGGGGCTATAACATAATATGCCCGAAATTCTTTCAGGCATATTATGACTAAAATGTCTACTCTTTCTATCTTGATTAACTGATGCAAATGGCGAAGTTAAACAAAAGGGGGTGATCAGATGAATTATAAGGTACACTTCCGTCACAATCAAATTGTTTCTATGTCGATACCTAACTTTGTCATTTTATATGAAATGCAAAGTATTAATATTGTATAGATATTTCAATAAAATGTAATGTATTAGTTTTCCTAGCAAACATATAGTTTTGTTGTTCTTTAAAAGGACATGCATGTTATATTAACTTGATATTGGCACAAGGAACAAACTGTTACACGAAGGATGGAATTCTTATGATAACTTGTCAGGAGTTCTTGTGATAACTGTCACGGAGTTCGTCGGAAATTCTTTTTTGAATTTGTTTTTATACACGATTTCGGTCCCTTGGTTTTTTTAATTGTTTAAAACGAAAATCAGGGTCTCGTCAGGGAAATTGGGAAACTAAACTGGATTTTGGGAAATTTTGATCTAGGATTTCAGAAACTCAAAAATTTTCCCTTTTCTGAGCTTTTTAAAAATATGAATTAATCCCTTAGTTTAAAAAAAATTTTTATTTTGCTCGTTTCGAAACCAAAAATTTTTTGCAGCTCGTATTTATCACTTTCGAGTCCGCTTCCTGTAACTAACAAGTACTGGTGTCATATGAGGAATCATTGATCGTGACCCGAGTAGGGCTCGAACCTATGATTTCTAGGTTGAGGCGCAGACACCCTAACCGCTGGGCCACCGCTCCCCTTCGAATTATTCATTACAAGGCTGGAGTGATAAAAGTTAAGAATGTAAATGCAATAAGTTGCTTAGTTGTTTTTAGTACAAATTATTTATTTATTACAAATACAGATCTTTATATAAATGTACATGTACAAATTATTATTTACAACTGGCCCTATAGTGTCTTGTTTATATGTCTTACACAATAATACTAAACATGTGAATCTTGGCAGGCTTTTCTTTTTATTTTTAATCATTTATTTATTGTCAGACCAATTCGTTACCAAGTTTAAACTCCCGAATGTATTCGTCAATTAAAATATCAATCTCAGCCAACCTGTCCACCCCCAAAGGAACAAGGCTGAGTAATCCGAGAAACATAGGAGCCTCTTTCTGGATAATTTTCCTTTCCATTTCCGGATGCGTCACTTCCTTTTAAGTGGCCCCTTTTAATTTTAACATTTTGGAAATTTCCCCTTTTATATTTTTAACAACTTTTGATTTTTAAATTTTTCCCTTTCTTTTGTTTTTACCCTACAAAGTTTAAATTTTTCATAAAAAGGGGTGGCCATTTCCGAGAGAAATGTGTCGTAGTAGACGCGCCATGTTTTAATAATCGTGGAATATAAATCGAGCAGGTCTTTGTAATACATTTTTCGCGCCTTTTGTGATTTAGCTAAAGCTTCATACTCGCTTAAAGTAGAAATTTGTTCCGTGTCGTTTGGTAGCAGATTACGAATACAGTTCATAAAATCTGTTCGATTTAGTTCCATCTCGTTGTCGAGATCTCGCATGGACGAGAGTTCAGTGGCAATGACACTTTGATAAGACTTCAACCTCTTCACCATATCTAGGTCGTGCTCTGAAAAAAAAAATAACATTAAAAATATCAAAAATTCTGTTTTATAATAAATTTTCCAAAAAGGGAAAAACCTTTTTTAAAAAAAAAATTTCCGGCTTTTTTTGGGGAAATTACCTTTTAACCGTTTAAAAGGGTTTTTAATAAAAAGTTTTCCTTTGAAAAAAAAAATATTTAGAAAAATTTTTAAAATTTTAAAAGAAAAAATTGAAAAAAAGTTAAAGGGGTTTAAAAAAAAAGTTTTTTAAAAAAAATTAAAAATTTTGATTTTTTAATTTAAAAAAACAAAACAAAAAATATTTTAAATTAAAAAATTAAAATTTAAAAATTAAAAAAAATTAAAAAAATTTTTTTGGAAAAAGTAAAAGTTGAAAAATTTTTAAATGAAAAAAAGAAATTTTGCTAAATTAATCAAAAAAAAAAACCCTTTTCGGGGGGGAAAAAAAGGAACAATAGAAAGTGAAAAAAGAATGGGTTAAAAAACATAAAAAAAAGCGATTTTAACAAAACACCCATTGGCCCAAAACCCTTTTATGCCCACAAATTTCTTTTTCAATAACAAAAAAATATCATTAAAGTCACTTTTTTTTTTTTTATGATTTATTTTATCTTTTCATTGAAATACGAGTCGATTTAACCATATACTTAACTGATATCTTAATCAGTTAGAATACAATAATAGAATGATTGAGAGCTTCGTAAAAATTGGTGTGACTAAAACGCCCTAAATTGTGTATATGAGATCTATTTTTTGATGCTAATGAATATATAAATAAATATAAATACGCCTATATTGGATGTCGAGCACTTCAGGAGACCTGGATGAAATGTCATGTTTGCACACATCATACTCGTCATCCCAAAGTTTTGTCTCTATGGTAATTGCAGTGATGGACGCTGCTTTCAGTACATCTGACGTAATCAAGACGTCATGTATCAATGACGTCAATTCCCCTCGCCGGTGAATAGCCCATAGAGAATTGAGAGATTCTACAGTGTCGAAACCTACTGCCATTACAATTCCTGAAAATATAATTTATAGACATCAATGAATTTCAGAATTCCGTTATAAATTGACACAGTCATATAAAATTATACAAAAGGTCAGGGTTATATACCTGCATAACCTTTCTTGGTCGAGATAGTCAACAGAATTTTACTGACTGAATCTCTTTGCTGGTATTATAACCAAAGATCGTGTTGCAACGTGTTTAATACTTATGCAATAAGTATAGACATTCATGTATGTATACATGTTTATCAAAATGTATAATGACAAGTATATAGATATACATGTATGTATATATCAATATGTAAAATGACAAACATTTTGAACTGAATTTTCTTCTGCAAAATAATGTCCCGTAGTACACCTCTTGCATTAATACAAATGAGAGAATATTTTAACAGAAGAAAGGTTGTGAGCGAGGGAGTGTAAAGGAAATGGGTGAAACCATTGCGGAGGGAGGAATGACGGTGGGTGGTGGTAAGGGAGAGAGAAGGTGTGATGTAGGTGTAGAAGGGATGAGGAAAGTTGGATAGGGAGATGACATCTCGGGGAAAAGATTATGAATAAGATATATTTTGTTCTCAATTCAGTTATGATGGAAACATATAGATCTATATCAACTTATTATATATTGAAATATGAGTGCAATTTTGAAAATATTAATGAAATAAAATGCGTATTTTCATTTTCCGTATTTTCACTGTAAACATTTATTTTTCACTGAAGTGAAATATATTTACTGTATTTTCACTGGAGTCTTACAGAACTACTTTTTTTCTAAATTCCGCCAAAACACAAATTTTAGGGGATGTTTTTCAAATTGAGTAAAGAAAAAAGAAAAATGTATATAATAAACAGAAAAGTCAAGTTTTTCTATAAATACAGGATTTATTTCCATCTTGTGGCATGAAAATTATCATATTTCACTCGTGGCTACCGCCACCCATGAAATATTTCTTTTTCCCATCACTTGTTGTATAAATGGAAAAAACTTTAATATCTTCTATGTATTTACTATCTAAGATACTGTTTGAAAGAAGAAATAGGTCATTTTAATGAAGCGTAATCGGTTATTTTAATGGTTAAAATAAATCTAAATAAAATGTAAAATTTAAGGAGAAAGAGTTCTTGATTGATCACAAAATGTCCCTCAATAGTACACATGTATCAGTACCTGGTCACGTGCTCGTATGACGTCTAAAATAATGGAAAACTGTGCCAAATCTGGGCTATTTTTTCTGACAATATATAATGCGACTTAGATCAACGTTTTAAAGGTTTGAAACATTCTTATAAATGCTTAAACATACTTGTTTTGAGATGAAATGAAAACACATTTTTTTACGTATCTTATATCATTAATTGATTGATCATAGAAAATGCAAGTACTAGATCTTGGTCATTTTTTTATTAAAAGTACAAAATAACAACATAAAGTACAACCATCCCTGCACGTACATGTTGGCTTATGAAAACAGTGCTAAATAACTTGTTATAAACAAAGAATCTTAGATAGCAATTTTATTAAATGATGACGTTTGACTTTTAGCTCGTCGGTCAATAACAATACATGTGAGGATGATAGATAAATTGAAGCTTGGCCGTATATCAAAGCCCGGGATGCTCGAAATACCGTTTATCAACCCCGGGACACTCTGAATATCGTTCTGCAGCTCTATCGACTGAGCGACCAGGCAGCTTAAGTATAAGTGAACAGTTATATTCATTGACAATTATTATCAAAAAAAGTTTATCATCAAAAGAGTTGATTATTATTAAAGGTTTATAATTATTATTGAAAGGGTTGATAATCAATTATCAAAAGAATCAATGTTGTCAATTAATAAATCAATCAATCAAACTGTCATAGATTTTATGTCTGTTTGAATTACTTCGTTTTGCTTCAGACTAGCATCTAACTAGTTTCAGTATTTGACGTTTACATTATTAGTTATAAAGATCGTTGACAGGTTATATAGCCCTATATAAACGGCTGTTTGCAAATATAACCCGAGCCGCAAGGCGAGGGTTATATTGCAAACAGTCGTTTATATACGGCCATATAACCTGTCAACAATCTTTATTACGAATTTATTATACAGCACGCATCATTTTTTAGAGAAAAAAAGGAAGATTTCTTAATGAATCGACAGAAGCCGAGTACATAAAACTATATAAACGTCACGATTATCCAATGAAAAGCGACGTTACAAACGTGCAGTATTATAAAGATAGATGTTACGTTTTTAATGAATGGTTAAGTAAACAATATTTTGAAGAAAATTCTGGCGTTAAGGTTTTCTCATTGAGCAGATGACAAACATTAAATGTACGTTGTTCCTACATGGTTAAATGAACTACAAGTAATAGAAAAAAACATCGAAATACGAGGCGTAGCCCTTGAGTATAAATCAGATTGCCGAAAATGTTGATGTTTTTTCTCTCTCTCTTTTAAATCAGAGGCAAAAATAAAAACACCTTCCCTGTAATCTCAATATGAAGCCCAAGAAAAAAGTAGCGTAACCAATGAACGAGCCTCTAAATGTGTCTTTTCTAGTTTTATCCCTTTCCCTGTCATCGCAATCAGTGACCCCCAAGAAAAACTGGGCTAATTGACGAGCATGCTCTGAAATGCAGATAACTAATATCGGCATTCCAGTTAACGCACTGTGCATTTACATGAATACGATTTTCCTCTGACATATTTTCAACAGAAATGTCCACAAACTATGATACAATTCATTGTACATGACTGGTAACATGTATATGTCACGTTGTAATGTGTGTTATATTTTGAATTAGTTACGACCTATTTGCGTAGTCATTAGACCGAAAAGTCGTAACAAAAACTTTAAAGGTCAACAAAGACGTTGGATAAGGATCTTCTGATAATTGAAATACGTGCTGAATTCTGCGTTAATAAATCTTGAAAATGAAATTTAGAATTGTTCACGTGGATTTTATTAACAACTCTTAACGCGAAATGTTACTGTGTAAGAACACGATTCACAATATTCAGTAAAAGAAGGGATATACCATAGCGTCGATCGGTTTTGACGTCATATGTAGCGGCATGTCGTTACATGACGTCTTAGAAGCGACATGCCATTATTCTCCCGCTATAAACGGCAGTATTAATTTGGTTTCACCTTTAACCTGCTCGTTTTATGCAATGGTCGATTATGATTAGAATCTGGAACAATTTATTTATAATTTAAAGGCCCATCATGCCTCAGATATGCTATCAATACAATTTCCTTAAACATACTAGTATTTTGTTCTTGTTATTTTGTTACAGTTTCCAAACAATAAAATTATTATGCATTTGCCATATAGATATACTATGCTCAATTTTTACATCAGAAAATAGTGAATACTGTTTCACAGTCTCCTTATAAATATATAATAAACATGTTTTGACTTTCCACAAAGTAGATATGTTATGTTTTAAACTCTATACATACTATAGGTAGTCACGATCTGAATATAATTAAAGTTTCATTAAAAAAACAGACATTTTTTAAAGAAAAGACTAACTTTACTTGACTCGTTTTAAGGAACACAGCTTCCAATACGTAGTTTATTCCCTCTTTCATTCAAATTAGGCATATTCAGTAAGAATCAATATATGTCTTTGATAAAGATATTTTACTCAATGATGGGCACAGTGTATCTTAAACGTTTTATTTCGAACATTTGAATATACATTTGAGCCGCGTCACGACAGAACCAGCATCAGCGCATCCTGATCAGAATCCATGCTGTCCGCTATCAGTTTCTCTACTTGTAATAGAGTTGGTAAGCGAACAGCATGGATCCTGATCAGACTGCGCGGATGCGCAGGCTGGTCTGGATCCATGCTGGTCGCAAACGGACTATGTTTGTTTTGTCGTGACGCGGCTCAATCAGTATTTCGTGTCATATGTTTACAAACCTGGTTCAAATCTCTCTATGTACGTGTCCGTCAGTTTTCTTCCGTGTTCAAATGTTGCTCTGATTTTAACAATATCCTTTTTTCGGAATTCCTCGTACAATATGTCAGTTGTATTCATCCGGAAAAAATGTGGTAAACCAATGCTTTTTTCGTCGATAGGTGTCGCTTCATACACAGAAATATAAATGCCGACCTCACCTTGAAAAAAACAATTACATTTAAAGATATATTTTAAGTACAACACGTACTATTAAAGAAACTCCACTGAGGTCCAAAAGCCTAAAAAAATGAAACATAGATCAGGCGGGGCACTTAAAACAGAAATATATGCAAAATATTAATAAGACATATACTAAGAAATAAATTGAAAATCGTATTTTGTGCTATTGTGAGCCCCTTTCGAATTTTGGATCATGTTTCACAATTAGAATAATAATAGTGAAAAAAAACTGAGTGAGCGAATGATTTGAAATTTTACACACAAGTTGTTGGTTTACACCTTCGTCAAATTGTAAAAGAATATTTCCAGCCCCGTCACGTCAAAACAAACCTCAGTGAAGTCCCCTTAATATCGACGATATATGTCACGTGTTCATGTTTGAATTACAATATCTGTACAGACGGTGCCTGTCCATTTGGTGGTAACGAGGCTATTCGAGTTCACACCGATTGGCAGGCCCAGGCACTTTAGATACGGATTTCCCTACCCGAACCATATATTAATAACAAAGCATTTGAACGATAAACTGTGCATAATTAGACTATGATGTAAGGAAAATTTATATATGTTTCGATTCTAACATACAAATAAAAAGAAAATTGATAAGAATATGTGGAACTTCATTGAGCGTAAAACTAATTTTCCTGACGTCATTTGGTTAATTGAGCCGCGTCATGACAAAACCAACATAATGGGTTTGCGACCAGCATGGATCCAGACCAGCCTGCACATCCGCGCAGTCTGATCTTGATCCATGCTGTTCGCTTACAGACAAGTAAACAAACTGATAGCGAACAGCATGGCGGATGCGCAGGCTGGTCTGGATCCATGCTGGTCGCAAACGCATAATGTTGTTTTTGTCATGACGCGGCTCAATTGATATCTGACGTCATATGACGTGTTATCATCAATTTTCTTTTTATGTTGTGCATCGTGTAATAAGACACTAACTTCTCTTGACTGCCCTACTTGTTTGATAGAGGAATAATTTGAAGCGTGTTAGAATTGTTAAAGCAGCATGCCTTCAGATCTTCGCTAATTTTCATGAAAATTAAGATAATGTATTGAAATGTAAACTATTGTCCAGTCATCAAAAACGTGTTTTGCACATAGATCCATGGCACTTTAGATCCATATTACTTACACATAACTTACCAAAATATATGTCAAAATATCAAAAGAATCCCTAAATGCGTTAGTCACGACATAGAGATATGGTGATAGATACCGCAAAATCAGTCATTCATTTTATTAAACATGCAAGTCATGACTTGAATTGTGAATATTATTACTTTGTTATATACATGTACTTGTAACGTTACTTATAAATGAAATATTGATGAAATGAAATGTCTATTTTCATTTTCCGTATTTTCAGTGAAAAAATCTATTTTTCACTGCAGTGAAACATATTTCCCGTATTTATTGAAAACTATAGGGGAAGAAAACTTTAATACCCTCTATTTTCCTAAATTTTCCTAAACATTCAGTATATTTTCTAAGTTGATTTTCTAGTAAATTGATAAATGTAAGCATGTTTTAATTTCAGTTTAAAACGCAATTGGACTGATTAACATTTTACTTACTCGTGTGGTATTTTTTATAAATAAGTTTTAAATTCTAGGGAAAGAAATGGCCTTTGTGTAAAATGTCAGACCAGAGTAACAAAAAATGCAACATAGTTCGCTTAATGGTAATCTTAATTGATTTTCTTACTTTAATTTTGCACACAAAAAAATCCTCCCATCAATTTAAAAAATCTGTATCATTTATAACAATTCTAAGCTCATTGATTAATATTAATCGTAGCGGATTCTAATCAATTAACTTTTTATGTAGGAATAGAATAAATACAGCGTCTCAAATGGTTAAATATTTGCTAAAAATCTAGTTCAAGTACATGAAAACCTTGGGAGGGAAAACGATTTTAGTTGACAATCAATTGAAATCAATTGAAACATTAAAAAATAATGTGTTTGTATTCGGTATGCATTGTATAGCGCGTGTAATAATAAATTGGTACCACGCAAAAACGATATCAGTGATATACAAAGCTAAATTACCACATACCCGTGCCGCTTTTGGCGACTCCGTAAAAAGGTAGTGTACGGCTGTGCATATATTTTGACGTTGCGTCATTTGCGTAAAGAAACATAGCGTAAAGAAGCGCAAAAATGTTACTGTTATACCTTAAGCGCGTCAATGCACTAGTGATTCTTTTAACACAGTTCTTAACAGTTCTTATTTTGGAGAGGTCCTAAATAGAATATTATATAATTTATTTTCGTTACTTAATTTATTGAACTCACTGAGAGAAATAATATCATGCTTGCAAGAGATTCGCATAATTTATTTTTATTCAACTTGTTCAATAATTTAGTATTGAACTCGTATTCATTTAATGTTCTCTATTTCTGATGGTCAACCCTACCATATGATAGTAATTTTGTTCTGATGCACAAGCAACCTCATTTAATCCACAGGCAAGTTTAGTGAACCCATAAGCTACCTAATGCCACATGCAAGCTCAATGAGTCCACAGTCAGCCTCAGTGAAAGGCAAGCAAATAAATTCACTCATACCACAAGCAATCAAGTAACTTGCAGCAAAGTATCTTACCGGTAGGCTACAATTGATATAGTGTTTGCAAAGTGGACATGGCAATTGTGCAAAGAGCATTAAGTCTTGATTAGCTCTAAAACATTATAATTTTATTTTTGTTGTTGTTGTTGTTGTTGTGTTGCTTTAGTTTCACGTCGCTCCACCAAAAAATCAAATGAGCTTTAAATTTGTTAAAGGTGCATGCATGCATATGTCTGCTCATACGCCAAAATATTCCAAGAAAATCTAACTTTACAAAATGTACTAAGATTTTTAAGAAAAGTCAAACATATTTAAGAATCAGGTATATGTGATAATTTTCATGATGTGTGCGAATAATGAGTGACTTTTGCAGTATTTCTTACCATATTTCTACGACGTGACTAACGCATTGGATTCTTTGAAATCACAATATTTTACATTTCAATAAATTTTCAAAATGTTTGTGAAAATAAGAATGCACCTGGAGGCATGCTGCTTTAACAAAATTTAACAATATTTCCTATCAAATAATAGAGCACATGTTATACATACATGGTTGACGTTGGAAGAATGGTCTAGAATCATCTTTCACTTCGTATCCCTCTTCTATTTCCGACATTGAAATTGGTGCAGACATACTTTTTAACCCAGACTTTAATCCACAACTTTTATTTATCAAATATCTTTCTTTCCGTTTTTTTGTGACGCTAAATGCTCTTTAGTCTCTCAAAACTAAACTTTGTTGTCCTTATTTTCTTTCACGTACTTGAAATATATTTTTAATTACTTTATAACGTAGCATCACACATTATACCATTTACATAGGTAGATAACGGATCAAAGATATTCTCATAAAAATGGACGCCTAAGTATAAAGTCAAACATAAATCCATTAAAATGATATTATTTTTATCTTTAAAATGTTTTGTTTAAGATAATTTCCAATTTGAATTTTTAAAAGCCGCGCTAAGCTTTGATCAAATATTTAACGATTTTAAGTGTACATTTACTTTCATGTTAACTCAGTATCGTCGTATTATTAATTCAACACATCCCATAATACCGTGTTCTTAAAAATACTTTCAAATATTTTAACAACTTAATTCAACAGTCATCCAATTAACACCAAATCAACTTTTGAATAAAATCTAATTCCCAAAATAAATGGTGTATTTAATGTACTGACTTTCCATAAACTTTAAAATAACATTCCTTGTAAAATCTACTTTAGAATTATCAATAACTTTAAAGTGATTATAAAGGCAATTTTATGCCTTTTTACACCCATTTTTGATATCATAATTTCGATAGTTTTCATTTCTCTATTCATGTAAATAATAAGTGGTATGAAATTAAATTACAGCCTTGTAAAACTAGGAGACGTAAACTTTTTTTATATTTTATTTTTAGATGTGCGAATGATTGATACGGCTTCATTGTGCATTGTACGTTTTGTGTGTGTGTTTGAATTTTTTCCCCATTTTCTAACAATAATTGTTAACCTTGGGTTTATTCAAATCAAATATATATCAAATATCGGGTATTTCATGTCACATCGCAATTAGCTTTTATTTTCCCTATTATAATTTGATATTTCAATCAATTATAATTCTTTACATAAAGAATGTTAAGGTGAAGGTCAAATAACTCAGTGAAAGGTCATATTATGTTTATACAGTAAAAGTAGGGTTATTGAAATAATAAAGACACTATAAACGACATTCGAATCGGAAAACATTCGCATTTAAAAAATGTATAAGCTTGCCCCTCTACAATAATAACTTTAGGTACGTTTTCTTTCACATACAATAATGCCTTGTTGCAATTATTGTTCTTTCTACATATAAGGTCTTTCGTTTAATTTGTCGTCTGCGGTGAACACTTTACCTCTCATCTCTCGTGTCTTTTTCCTTCCCGCATTTTTTTTTTAATTCTTTGACCATGCCTTTAATATTTTTTTTCTTGATTTCACATTTTGGAAATGACTTTTGAAGAATCCTCGTGAGATTGACATAATTATTCCCATTCCCCGCTCTTTTTTATTCTCATGCCCCGCCCTTTGAAGCATGTTTGCTTTATTTTCGGTGCGATACTAGGCACCTTTGCTCTTGTCTTTCTCTTTTGATTTATAGCTAAATATGTATACAGTAAACTCGGCTTATAACGAACTCACTGGGACATTATATCCGGAGTTCCTTGTAAGCATATAGCGAATTAGTTCGTTGTATCAGGAGTTTTTATAGCGAACAGATTTACATATAACGAACTGATTGTTTACTATTGTCCGCCATTTTTGAAGAGAATTTGATTAAGAAATAGAAATATTTGTCATTTATTCATATTTTAGACACACTACCCGAGAGCGTACTTTTTGGAATTCGAAAATCATTGCTATTTCAGTTTTAGTTTTACTCCTTATCTCAATTTTACATAAAATATAATATTTTCGTTTTCTTTCCATGATTGAGAATAAACAAGATTTTCCATTTTTCCCTCCTTTTATATTGAATATCTTTTATTATAATTTAAGGGTGACATTTACTAATGTAAGATATAGATTTCTTTTCATTTAAAAAGCATGCATGATTATGTTGAAAACCGATTATAAATTATTATAATTATTTTACTCGAGCAAAACTATTGAAGAAAATAAATAAATAACCGTTTTATCTTGGTGAAAAGAGCTCATGCTAAAAATATCCAAAATAGAAAACTATACAAATTCATTTGAATAGATGTATTGAAGTACATACAACGATAAACGTTACATTCGCCCGAGTTTTAATCCGTGCATTGAACATGCAGGATCTATTTACGGATAGCCAATATTTTGGAGTTCGTTATAAAAGTGTAATTTTCTGTACTATTAGCTAAATTGGGACTAAGAAATGAGTTTTTTATAAGCGATAATTCCTTATAACGTGTTCGCTATAACCATATATTTTTGTATTAAATAAAGAAGGCCAAAATGCGGGCCAAAATAAGTTGTTCCCTATAACCGGAAGTTCGCTATAACCGTGTTCGCTATAAGTGAAGTTTACTGTAGTGCTTTTCCTGACACAAAATGTAAGCATCCTGCCATCATAACAACACTTATAAAAACACGTCATGCTTTGTCACGTATAGTAAGTTTGGTAAGTGCACTATATTTATTTATTTTTAGCTCGACTATTCGATAAGAATAAGTACAGCTATTGTAGTCACCCGAGCGTCGGCGTCGGCGTTGGTGTCCGCGTCGGCGTAACCACTTATGTTAAAGTTTTTGTAATAGTTCAAATATTTTCAAAGTCCATTGACATATGGCTTTGAAACTTGGCACACTTGTTCACCATCATGACCCCAACCTGTAGACAGGAAGACAGGAGGAGGTAACTGTATCAAGCATTTTGACAGAATTATGCCCCTTTTTAGCTCGACTATTCGAAGAATATGAGAGCTATTGTAGTCGCCCCGGCGTCGGCGTCGGCGTCTGCGTTGGTTAAAGTTTTTTGTAAAGTCAAATATCTCAATTATTACTTGAGATATTCAATTGAAACTTACAATACTTATTTATAGTAACAAGGTACATCAGATTGACAAGTTGGATAACTCTGCCTACAATATTGACAGAATTATGCCCCTTTTTAACTTATAAATTTTGGTTAAAGTTTTTTGTAAAGTCAAATATCTCAATTATTGCTTGAGATATTCAATTGAAACTTACAATACTTATTTATAGTAACAAGGTACATCAGATTGACAAGTTGGATAACTCTGCCTACAATATTGACGAATAATGCCCCTTTTTAACTTAGAAATTTTGGTTAAAGTTTTTTGTAAAGTCAAATATCTCAATTATTGCTTGAGATATTCAATTGAAACTTACAATACTTATTTATAGTAACAATGTACATCAGATTGACAAGTTGGATAACTCTGCCTACCAGATGACAGAATTATGCCCCTTTGAAAAAATTTTAGTTAAAGTTTTTTTGTAAAGTCAAATATCTCAATTATTGCTTGAGATATTCAATTGAAATTTAAAATACTTATTTATAGTAACAATGTACATCAGTTTGCAAAATTGCATAACTCTGTCTGCAATATTTGCAGAATTATTTGCCCATTTGAAACTTAGAAATTTTGGTTAAAGGTTAACGGTCTTCAAAGGTATTTACTTGAAACTTTACACATGCACTTAGGGTCATAATTGGAGGGTCATAATTGTATGTCACTGACCAAGTTCCATAACTCTATCTTGCATTAAGGCTGATTCATATCCCCTTTTCTACTTAGTTTCTTGGTTAATGTTTACATGCAAGTTTTACATATCTCAATAACTATTAAAGATATTTATTTAAAACTTCACATATGCATTTAGGGTCATAATTGTAGGTCACTGACAAAGATCCATAATTCTATCTTGCATTTAGGCTGATTTTTCTCCCCTTTTTCAACTTAGAAATTCATGGTAAAGTTTTGCTTGTAAGCTGTTATCTCAATAACTACTGAAGGGTTTGTGCCTTTTTTGGGACAATTTTATGCATTCATAATAATAAAGCAGTGATTTACTTGATAAAACATCTTAATAACAAACCTTTGTACCTTTTCTGTCAAATTTATTTATTCATAGGTAATTAGTATTATTATACTCAATAAAAAAACCCTTGTGACATTACCTTCCGAATAGTCAAGCCAATTCTGTATAATTAGACTCTCTCTAAGGCCTATAACATGAATTTATAAAAAAAAATTAGCCCTTTTGTGAACTTAAAAAATTTAACAATATAAAGGCTCTTTTACTATCAAGCACTTAGAACAGTCGAGCATGCTGTCCTACAGACAGCTCTTGTTCGACTTAGAATTTACGTTAAAGTTTTTGTAATAGTTCAAATATTTTCAAAGTCCATTGACATATGGCTTTGAAACTTGGCACACTTGTTCACCATCATGACCCCAACCTGTAGACAGGAGGAGGTAACTGTATCAAGCATTTTGACAGAATTATGCCCCTTTTTTGACTTAGAGTTTACGTTAAAGTTTTTGTTATAGTTCAAATATTTTCAAAGTCCATTGACATATGGCTTTGAAACTTTGACCACTTGTTCATCATCATGACCCCAACCTGTAGACAGGAGGAGGTAACTGTATCAAGCATTTTGACAGAATTATGCCCCTTTTTTGACTTAGAGTTTACGTTAAAGTTTTTGTAATAGTTCAAATATTTTCAAAGTCCATTGACATATGGCTTTGAAACTTGGCACACTTGTTCACCATCATGACCCCAACCTGTAGACAGGAGGAGGTACCTGTATCAAGCATTTTGACAGAATTATGCCCCTTTTTCGACTTAGAATTTACGTTAAAGTTTTTGTAATAGTTCAAATATTTTCAAAGTCCATTGACATATGGCTTTGAAACTTGGCACACTTGTTCACAATCATGACCCCAACCTGTAGACAGGAGGAGGTACCTGTATCAAGCATTTTGACAGAATTATGCCCCTTTTTCGACTTAGAATTTACGTTAAAGTTTTTGTAATAGTTCAAATATTTTCAAAGTCCATTGACATATGGCTTTGAAACTTTGAACACTTGTTCACCATCATGACCCCAACCTGTAAACAGGAGGAGGTAACTGTATCAAGCATTTTGACAGAATTATGCCCCTTTTTGGACATAGAATTTACGTTAAAGTTATTGTAATAGTTCAAATATTTTCAAAGTCCATTGACATATGGCTTTGAAACTTTGCACACTTTTTCACCATCATTACCCCAACCTGTAAACAGGAGGAGGTAATTGTATCAAGCATTTTTTTTTACTATCAAGCACTAAGAATAGTCGAGCGTTGCTGTCCTACCGACAGCTCTTGTTGTGTATTGTTTTTATATCAAATTTCACACTTTATTGGCGACGCCGGTGAGCGGCGTCGTCTCTTATGGAATGCTCTTTATTTTGGCCTATGGAAGGAGCTGTTATTATTAGCAGTTAATGTCATGTTGTGTTATGATTCGTAAAAATCAAGTAAACAAATATGTTGTTATATTTGTATTTAATAACTTTATGTAAACAGCATGTGCATTGTGATATTATTTTCACGAAATTGCAGGCTCAGTTTAACAGCTTGTCCCTTAGCTTTATTGGCAATACTAAAACCCGGATTTCGAATATCGTTGTGGTCTACATTGATGCCGTTTTCTTTTTCATTCATTTACATATTTTCAAAATTTTCCTACAAGAAGAACTTCACCTGCAAATGAGTATTGGTATTGGTAATGGAACTGTTGTAAACGATTATCTTATTGATTTTATCCA